GCCTTTTGGCCGCCTCGGGCGTTCAGACGGTCTTCTACGGCTCCTTTCGCCGGCTGCGGGTGAACCTTGCAAGGAGAAAAGCCTGCTTCCTCTTCCTCCTTGGCATGCAAAGGCTTTTTCGTGGGAATCAGATCTGAAGGGCTCAGTATCTATCTATCTATCTATCTATCTATCTATCTATCTATCTATCTATCTATCTATCTATCTATCTATCTATCTATCTATCTATCTATCTATCTATCTATCTATCTATCATCTCTGTTGGATTTAAATGATCCTAAATAAATAGTGTAACCGATGAGGACTTGGCACTGCTCCACGTGAATGCTGGGGAAGGTGGAGGAAGGCAGCAGGAAAAGAGGAAGAACAGACACAGGTGGAGTGACCCTCTAAACAAGGAAGCCACCAGCTTGAGTCTGCAAGAGCTGAGCAGGGCTGTTGAAGAGGGGACATTTTGGAGATTGCTCGTTCGTAGGGTGGCCATGAGTTGAGAGGTGACTTGGTGGCCCGTAACAACAGACCGTGATGAGATCGCGTTTGCAAGCTGTCGCGGGTCCTGGAAGTAATCATCAGTGCACTGAACTCTGCTTGAAATGGCGTCCTTGGAGCGGTGGAACTGCTGCATTCTGCACTAGATGCAGGATCCGTATCACCTTCCAAGGTGATTGCTGCTAGCACAACACGTTACAACCATCAAGGCGGCATTGTATTCCCAATGCGTGGGGTATTAGGGCCGCATTGTTGCTATTTAAGGGGTGATCAGACTTTGCAGACAAACCAGAGCTGGCCAAAAGCACTCTGTGAGGCCAAGGCCATTTACGCCTTTGGCGACCGCGACGAAGCCCAACCTGTGCACTTTGATCCTATGCAGAACCGTTTCTAGAAAACATGGTTCATCTGGGGTCACCTGGGGCTGCTTATTGCCAGGAACGATGGGTCTCCATTCGCCTGCTCAGACCAGCTTTCTCCTTGCCCCCACACTCTTCTGAGTCCATCAGGACTCAGACATGCTGTTGTTTCCTGAGAGGAGCGTAACAAGAACTCAGCACCCTTTCTATTCAGCCGCCTGGCCCTATCCTCTTGTTGGCAGCAAGACAGCTTCCTATGATTTGCTGGACACATTTGGGGCTTTTGCTTTTGTGGGGAAATGAGGGAGGGAAGGAGGTACACTGACAATCTGTTGATACAAGTAACATGTCATCATAGTATGGTAGAGCACCATAGACTGGGGGTGGGTGGGATCTGTCTTTGTAGATGATGGCATTTCCGTGGGGT